TTTGGTCCCTTATTCTTCTACATTTCGGAATAATATTAAAAATGTCGAGTGTCTCGATCGTCGCATTTTATTCTTGGTAAAGGGGGGAAAAGTGGGAAAGGACGAGTTCAGGAAACGAAAGTTGCTCCAGTGGAAACTCGTCGAATTTTCCCAGTGGTCGGAAACACGATCAAAGCGTCCTTTCGCAAAGCGCTCCCTAGGGTGCTCGAGTCGTCTCGGTTCTATACGTCTCCCCCCCTTCCCTCCTCCTACTCTCCTTTCCCTCCATTTTCTGTCCTCTCGCTCTTCTCATGTGGCAACAGAGATTCCAAGAGGTCGCCTGAAACCGATTCAAACTCTGTTCTACCTACGCGATCACGAATCGATGGTATTTCTTGAGGAATGTCGAAATCAACGTGTAATATCGTGTCCACTCTTGTGTGTTTCCCGACTGCCACTGAAATTCAAGTGGGAATTCAAACGTGGAACTCAATCCGCAAACGAAACCGTAATTACCGTCATTGTCATGCATTCGTTCGGTGTTAATTATTATTTTAAATTCAAAATTCCGACAGTTAGAATCGATATATATTAAAGACAAAATTTATCTTTTAAGAAGGTAGAAAATTAATTTTTTTCTAGAATAAAATAATATTAATGAAAATTTATGGGGAACTTTTTGAATGGACCAACAGCATCCGACCTATAATGGACCAAAAAAAAGACATTTTTTAATTTTTAATTATCAAGATCATTTCTCGTGAACAGCAAAAGAATTATCCTCAAATAGTGCTCTATAAAAATGGAATGGAATATTTTTTGATTGGATCAACAGCATCTGAGATACAATGGACGAAAGTGGACAAAAAATTTTGAAATTTAAAATTTTCCAGATAAACTCTCCGAAATAGAAGGAGAGTTATTCTCAGATAGTGCGCTCTACAAAAAATTTATGTGGCACTTTTTGAATGGACCAACAGCATCCAACCTACAATGGACCAAAGTAGACAAAAATTTTTAATTATCAATATAATCTCTCGTTAACAGCAAGAGTTATATTTCCCAAAAAGTGTTCTACAAAAATGGAATGGAATATTTTTTGATTGGACCAACAGCATCTGAGATACAATGGACGAAAGTGGACAAAAAATTTTGAAATTAAAAATTTTCCAGATAAACTCTCCGAAATAGAAGGAGAGTTATTCTCAGATAGTGCGCTCTACAAAAAATTTATGTGGCACTTTTTGAATGGACCAACAGCATCCAACCTACAATGGACCAAAGTAGACAAAAATTTTTAATTATCAATATAATCTCTCGTTAACAGCAAGAGTTATATTTCCCAAAAAGTGTTCTACAAAAATGGAATGGAATATTTTATGCTTGGACCAACAGCATCTGAGATAGGATGGACGAAAGTGGACAAAAAATTTTGAAATTTAAAATTTTCCAGATAAACTCTCCGAAATAGAAGGAGAGTTATCCTCAGATAGTGCGCTCTACAAAATATTTATGTGGCACTTTTTGAAGAGACCAACAATGGCTCTACAAAAATGGAATGGAATATTTTTTGATAGGACCAACAGCATTCGAGGTACGATGGACCAAAATGGACCAAAAATTTTGGAAATATAAATTTTCAAGATAAACTCTCGGGCATAATAGGAGAGTTATCCCCGGATAGTGCTCTACAAAAATGTATGAGTCACTTTTCGATAGGACCAACAGCATCCGAGATACGATGGACCAAAGTATACAAAAAATTTTGAAAATTTAAATTTCCAAAAATAAACACTTATCCGCAGATAGTGGTTTACAAAAAAATGTATAAGTCACTTTTTGAATGGACCAACAGCATCCAACCTACGATAAATCAGAACAAAAATTTTCGAACGTATTTATAGTAAAAAAAATTATTTAAAAGAATTGTAGATAAATCGTGAAGTAGAGAAACAATCTCTTTTGAGATAAGGAAGGATTTGGTAGTTAGGGTCAATAAATAGGCGAACGTAATAAAATCAAGTAAATTAGTCGATAAAAAGAAATCCCTAAAGTAGTCGTCGTTAGTCTATAGTCAGACGGTTGTAAAAATAAACTTTTCTTGAGATAATGATTGTTCCCGTAGATAGTTAGACAGTATTATAATTAATAGTAGTAATAAAAATCATTACAAAATTAAGCTAATTACAGTCAATTAGCCTTTTTTTTAATTTATTTTTATTATTTATTTATATTAAAAGTAAAACTAAAATTATTTTTAAAATAACTATAATTAAAAATTAAATTATATTGTTAGAATATTAATGGCTCTAAAAAATTTTTTATTTTGTACAGATCTAATTAAATCCGAGTCGATTTTTTAAATAATCAATTTGTGCCCAGTAATATTTATTTTTTTTTTGGTAACAAATTTCTATAATTATCCACTTTTAATTAATTATAGACGAATCTTTCGAAAAAGAACTTTAATCGATTGGTATAGGTATATATATAAAAGCTAAAACATCGTTTCTCTAATTATAGAAAAGCAGTTTTAGTTTTTTTGTGATTTTTTTTTAATTGTCTTTTTTTTTAATTAAATTATTGAATTAGGTCATGGCAAAATTAGTAGTTTATAATATGGAATCTAAAAATGTAGATTTTTCATCTCTATTATAATTTTAAATGTTCATTTCCTTAATTACAAATATATGTGATAAAAATATTTTATCAAAAATGAGTTTTTTTCAGAAAATTAAAAATTTGATAATTGATTTTAAATATATCTATGATTGATATAAAACGTTAAAAATAAAAAGTAATTGAGATCAATCTATATAGTCTGATAATACAGTAGAAAATCAAAGTTTCTAGTGACGATAAGAAGGGATTATATCGAGAAGTCAATCTTCAGTCATATATTAGTTCAAGTCAAGCGTTATGGTGATAAGAGGGGTTAAAATATATAGTCGAGAGTAACTTTAGAGTCAGTCATTAGTGAAAATTCAACCTCTTTCGTTAAAGAGAGACAGATTTAAATAGTAGGTGTGTAATTCATAGTAAAATACATAAAATACTGTGTCACGAGAAAATCATAGAGAATTTATTATTTTTTCCCCTCATTTTTATGTATAGAATTAATAATAATACTAGTAATTAATTTTTGTTAAAGAAATTTCGCGATTTTCAAGTAAAAGTTTTATAGAAATAGAAACGCAACGTAAAAAATATATATTTTCTTTTAAAAGCATTTTATATATTTTCTTTGTTATAACAATTATTTTTTTAAAAAAAAGTCCAGTGGTAAGCGATATGTGAAAATTACAGGTATGTAGGTTAATTACAGTTGTATCAAGTTTAAATTAATGACTTTTTTCATATAGGTCAATTTGAATGAGAGATGGTTTTGAGATTTAGAGCGCGTTACAAATATTGGATTAAATTGGAGAATTTTCTCTACTTCGTCTCTTGTATTTAAAAACTTTTACTTTCTGATAATTTAAGCATGATAATATTCATAAATATTTATATTCTTCTTTCATGTTGAATATTTATTTTTTTCACTTTTAATAATTATGTTACGTTTTTTTATATTGCGTCTAATCTTAAAGAAAAAAAAGAAACAAAAAAAAATAATAAAAATGTGAATGAAAATATAAGTTGAAAATATGTTACAGTGTTTAGAGATAGAAAATTGAATTTGAGCCTTTTTAAAATGCTCATCATTTGAGTAATGGATAGTTAAGGAATTATGGTTTGAATAATTAAGTAAGTTATGACAATCGTTAATCAAGTATGAAGGTTTCTGTAACAAAATACGTGGAAAGTTTTGCTCGCAAAAGAGAAGAAATGAGATAATATGCATAAAATGTCTTTATGAGATTCGTAATTAGTGACATAAAGGTGTTATTTGAGCTTAAAGTATATTCCTTCAGACTATACTTTATTAAAAGTATATATTTTAATGTTTGCCTCATAACCCAGATTTTCTTAATCCTATTTCATTGGGAGTGAAAAGGTCACATTTTAAATGAAATGTTTAAATTAGACTTTTAAACATGTCTTTTGACACGTAAGATTTCATTTTAATTTTTTTTTTTTTTTTTTTTTTTTCAAAAAAGAAAAAGACGCCTTATTAATTTTGTAATCAAAAAACATTTTCATCTCGTTGCACAAAATCATAAGAATTTTTAATTGCTCCACCCGCAGTTAGAAATGAAAATTAAAAAATTAATTTTTTTAATTGCAATATTAGGTTAGGGGTAAATTTCTTTATTTTCTGTATACTATTTTGGTTAAGATTAAGAGAGGCAAAATCTCTAGAGGCATAACCAGAAGTGTCAACCGCAATTTTCTTGTGTGCAAATCCGCAAGCAGGAAGAACATACCGCGTTATTGGATAGTAATGTACTTACTGGCGAGATGTCGACATTGGCGCAGAAGTGAAACTAGATTTCATGGCACAAAAAAAAAAGAAAGGAAAAAAAAGTGCAACATTCAAGTCTACATAATCAAAAGTGACAGGGAGAGGAGGTTATTTTATTTTGTCGTGTAAAAGCACGTAGGAGATAAGGGAAGCCTCTTCGATTTCCCCCGCGAGGCACTCAATTTCTAGCCAATATATATATATATATATATAGTTTCGAAGTGAGCTACCCTCATTCTTGAGCAATAGGCCGATTCACTGCCGTTCCTTTTAACCATTGAATTCACCCAGCGGAAAAGATTGTATTAATTTTTCTTTTCAAGTGGAAAAGCGAGAATCGCTTTTTACTTTGCTTAAAGGAACTTCTACTAAGGTGATTCCTCGATTATATAGGTGGAACATATTGACTTTTTATTACCTCTTTCTAAACTCTGATACTTTTATATCATATAATTTTTTTTTTTTTTTTTTTTTTTTTTTTAAAAAGGTTAATTTATTTTTTAACATCTTTTTTTTTGTGAAATTAAAAATTAGGTTTTTGTTTTATTTAGTAAATATGTTACTTTTTTTTTTTTTAAAAAAATTGTTTTGTATTTATGAAAAAAAAGTATCTCACCGTTTCTCCATTAATGGTCCAATGCATTTTTGCCTTTGGAATTGAGGCAAAAGCTGTGCAGTTAGCGGTGATATTTTCACCAATTGTGTATTCACCAGCCAGACCGTTGATTTCTGGATTTCTTTCCGGTGGTACTGAAACACCAATTTGATTTATTGCATAAAAATTATTTTCAATACAAATATTATTTTAATATCACTCTATGTGTATATATTTCTCGCATATAATAAAATTAACCCTTTCGAGTAATGTTTTTTTTAAGGGACTTTTTGTTTTTTATACTGCTATTGAAAAAAAAAAATAATTTTATTTTATTCAAATAATTGCTTACTTGAATATTTTTAAATAAATATTTACTTGGATTAAATAATTTTTTAAACCAAATAATTGAATTAAATAAATTTTATTTTAATCAATAATTTCTGTATTTAAAATAAATACCATTTAATTGACCTAATTATTATTATTATTATTATTATTATTATAATTATTTAATATAAATAAATATTTAATTGATTTTAGTCAAGTAATTTTTTTTCAATGTGTGGCTAGAAATTGTCAATTATTTTGCAAAATTTTGAATGACTTTTCAATTTGTGGTTGTTGAATTACAATTGAATTTGATTTCGAGTGTGGAAAATTTTATTTTACAATATATATCTAGTTTAATGAATATTGACGTTCATTGGTTAAATAGGAATATAATCATGTTACATGATATTGAAACACTTGAAATTGAAAATCTGACCTCTCGTGAAATATTTCGGTACTTGTATTGTAATTTAGGAGCTAGTAACTAATAATTAGCTTAAACAGCAGAGTTGCCAATGCTCGAAACATTGTGCAAATATACACGTCAAGTTTGCGCGCGTTTTGTATTTGTTCCACTACAGTAAATGGTACATGAGAAAACCAGAAGCTATATACGAATATTCAAATATATATATCGAGAGAGAGAGAGAGAGAGAGAGAGAGACCTTCGGATATTGCGATATTAATTAAACCAGTACTAAGCACAACGGTGTCTGTTTTTGCTCCCGAACTTTCCTCATTCGAATTCTGTTCACAATTCGCGCAAAAGCCACGCGAGTTTATATATGAAGCAACTTCACCTGGATCACGATTTGCAAAATTTTATGTCCATTTTCTAGATCCACATCTAGTTTTTTTTTTTTTTTTTTTTTTTTTTTTTTACTTTTCATTTCACTTTGATATTGTTCAGCTTTTTATTTTATTTTATTATTTAAATTTTATTTTTAATATACCGATTTTTAAAAGTTTTTTTTACCGTTTTTTTTTTTTTAATATGGTAATAATAGATAATTGCAAGTTTTATTTGATGATATATAATTATAGATGAAAAATGAAAAAGGAAAAAAAAAATGTAATATTTTTCAAGTAATTAATTTTGTTATTAATTACTTTTTTAATTAAAAATTTTAATTGTTAGTTTTAAAATTTAATTACATATTATTTTATTAATAATAATTTAATTATTTAAAGGACTTTTGAATATTTTGCATCTATTTGTTAATATTAATGGTGTTGCATAATCGAATTATTAATAAATGCTTTTTCAGTTTAATTGAAGGTAATTAGCATATAAAAGCCATATTTAGGATTAGAATTAATTTTCATCGTATACTGTTCACTGATTATATTTTTTTTTTGTTTTTTTTTTTTTTTTTGATAAATTAGTTTTTGTTATTATTTTATGAATTATTATTAAAGATTTTATAACTGAAAGTCTGGTATAAGATAACCATTTTTTAGTAATTATTTTTCAATTAATAAAAATAATTTAATTGTTGACTTGATAGTTTTATGATTTAAAATAAGAAACTTTATTTATTATATTATTTATTACTTATTACTATAACACGGAGAGAAATAGACGGTATGGGGTACTATCTAGATATACGGACAGCAATCTGGATTCTATCAGTTACTATTCAGATTGTACGAAGTAACATCTTGATTGTAGTGGGTAACATAACCATACATTTTGTAACATCTTTGATAGTACCGGATCCGGATAATATCTACTTTTTACCATCTTAACATCATAAGTTCTTACCATCTATTTCTCTCCGTGAAGTTATAAATAATAAGTTAAGTTTATTATTTCCCCTGATTCAATTGAATTCGAATTAAATTATCCAATGATTAGTGAACACAATATTGATTAATTTCGACAAGAGTTATTTAAATTCGAGATTTTTTTCTCTATATAATAAATTATTAATTAAAAAGTTTGCTCTCTCTCTCTCTCTCTCTCTCTCTCTCTCTCAAAATGGCTGAAGATAATTATTAATATGAAATCCGCGGAGAATTAAATTGAAAATTTCCATAATAATATTTGTTGATTCATTGAATTCTAAAGGGTATTTATTAGTAGCAGTATATTTCGTGTGATATAACATTATTTCGTTTGATATGAATAAATTAACATTTGTTCACTATTGGAAGGGGGGGGAGGGATATTATGAGTTATTCGTGAATACAGTTTATCAGCATTGATGACATGCGAAAGTGTTCTAGTGTCGATTATTAGTAGGGTTATCAGCTTGATGACCACAACCGTAGCTCTAGTGTCCCTAATAGCTTTAATTGGTACATTGGATTATGAGACACATTCACGACAACGAAATGCTCCATTAAACATCAACTCTGTTGTCCGAGGGAAAATTTAGTTTCATTTCTCGATGGAAATTTGCAAGCTTAATAATGCCTTATGCACAGTCAAATATCCGGATTTTAATTAAGATGCTAAATCCCATAATTGCGTTTGATCCTCCCCCCCCCCCTCTCTCTCTCTCTCTCTCTCTCTCTCTCTCTCTCTCTCTCTCTCTCTCTCTCTCTCTCTCTCTCTCTCTCTCTCTCTCTCTCTCTCTCTCTCTCTCTCTCTCTCTCTCTCTCTCTCTCTCTCTCTCTCTCTCTCTCTCTCTCTCTCTCTCTCTCTCTCTCTCTCTCTCTCTCTCTCTCTCTCTCTCTCTCTCTCTCTCTCTCTCTCTCTCTCTCTCTCTCTCTGAAGCCCCCTTCTGCCCAAAAATAGTTTTATACTTTTCGATGACGTCTGGCGTTTTTGAAAATTCAAAATGGTGGATCTAATATGGCGACTAACTTTTATAAGATTAATTAAATTTACTTGAAAATTGCTACTTGGGGGTTTTTGAGGTCGCTGATTACGAATTCGATGATAGTTTTCAAATTCAAAATGGAGGATTTAATATGGCGACTAAATTTCATAAAATTAATTAAATTCACTTGAAAATTGCCACACAGGGGTTATTGGGGTCGCTGATTATGAATCCGATGATAGTTGTCAAAAATTCAAAATGGCGGATTCAATATGGCGACTAAATTCCATAAAATTAATTAAATTCACTTGAAAATTGCTACTCAGGGGGTTTTGGGGTCGCTGATTACGAATCCGATGATAGTTTTTAAATTCAAAATGGCCGATCCAATATGGCGATTAAATTTCATAAAATTAATTAAATTCACTTGAAAATTGCCACTCGGGGATTTTTGGGGTCGCTGATTACGAATCTGGTGTTAATCTAGAAGTAATAGACGTTTTTGCTTGAGAAACCATTTGCCATCAATTTTGATGCCATATTGGATTCGCCATTTTGAATTTTTGAAAACTATCAGCAGATTCGTAATCAGCGATATATATATATATATATATGAATGTATCTTTATTATTGACGAAAGTTTTTGTCGTTATCTTACAATTTTAATTGATAAATGTGTTAGCAATTTGTTTTTTTTTATGTAAAAATTTTGGAGTAGATTTTACTTTGAGTTGGCAGTCAATTTATGGTCAGACAAGAGATTTTTTGAGTTAATATTTATACAAGGGGGAAAAGGCAATTTTAAGTTTTTTTGATATAAACGAAGTGAGGAGATGGTATGCCCGCAGTTTTCCTTGATCCTTAATTTCCTTTTCGTGCTCTTGCGCCTATAACCTGCGGACTCTCTTTTTCCCACATGATGAGTTTCACATAAAGCGAGATCGTAAATCAGGCATACCTTTCCTTTTGGGATCGATTTGCGATTTATGGCAAGTCTAGTAGTGGTCTCATCGATCATGAACGACTCCATTGGAAATTAGTAAAAGGGAAAAAAATTTATAATTCACACGAGTATATTGCTTTCAAGTTTAATAAGTTTTATAAAATATTGCTCTCTTTCTCTCTCTCTCTAATAAAATTTGAGAAAATAGATGCTATTGTTGAGATAAAAATGAACAATTTTTGGAATATTGATAAATATTTTTGAAAAAGAGGACCAAAAAAAAAAAAAAGGGGGAAGTTATTGATAAATATGGCAAAGGGTTGTTTCTGATGGGCCAATTGAATCAAGTCACTTTAAAAATTTTGCTCTTTGGTGCAATTGCCAGTATTCTCAGAAGACGAGAGAGGTTGGTTTTCTTCGAGACCAGGAAAGGAAAGACGATATTTCCTGGAAGGATCTTGACGTCGTTTCTCCTGGTTTTTCCTTCTTTAAACCATTCTCTTTGAACTGCGGACATGAATATTTATGATCTCATGAATATTTACGATACTCCAAAAGTACGCATACGCTAGGACGTATTTATATGTATATAAGTTGCATATGTATATATATATATATACCCGCTTATCAGGAAATATATAAATATAAAAATGGAAAGATGGAAAATTTTTCACAAGGGAGACATTCACAGAGCCATGGGAAGATATTGAAAGTTTTTCAAGATGTGGAATAGTTTGTAAATGAAGGCTTTATGTACGCTTTTCACATTCCAGATGGTTTTGAAAAGTAATTTTAAGTGCTTTCATGTTTCATGATTTATAAATTTAAATGCCTAGAGTAAGAATAGTCAGGAAATTTAAAAAATATATAAAGGTGAAATGGTTTGGGTTTTTAATTTCAAAAACTTCAACCATAAAGAGAGACCGTATTTCAGTTTTATTATTTAAAAATTTTTTTTTCGTATAGTTGGAAATATAAGTATTTTCTTATTCACTGATATTGAATGGAATTGATGATAAATTACATTTTTCTTAATCTGAGGCATTTTTTTTTTCTGTAAAATCAAATTAAATAGTAGAATAGCTTTATTGGACTAAAACTAGGAAAATTT